AATAGTGAGTAACTGTTATCATGACTGATGACAACTGTCAGAATTGTAAAGGTAGAAGTTTTGTAACAAAAATGAGGGAGTAGTTAATCTTACAGTCCAGAAACAGAGGACCCTAAGACCATCAAGGGCGAAGAGCACAAGCCAAATGTGGGACTGTATCCAGAGATGCAGTGACACCAGAGATGGAGGCAGAGACGAGGACATGGAGAGAGGGAGCAGCTGAGGACTCTAGACTCATGGAAAGAGAGGAACTGAGTGCTGGTGTCCAGGAGGCAGGCTTGTAGCATGTGCCCTTTGGTTGGTTGTTTGAATGATTATATATTCCTGAGTGTTTCTGTGTACATTAAAAAACAAAACAAAAAAACCACAAAGGGAACAGAAGCAAACACTGCTAAATGATGAGGTATGGAAGGCACTGCAATCATTGCAATGAAATGAAATACGCTCAATTCACAATAAAGACTTTAAAAAAATAAAAAGCCATTGCCATTGAGTCAATTCCAGCTCATAGTGACCCACTATAATAGAGGGCAGACTGTTCCATAGCGTTTCCAAGGCTGTAAATCTTTACGGAAGCAAAGGGCCACATCTTTCTCCTGGGGAGCACTTGGTGGGCTTGAACTGCCAACAAACTGGTTAGCAGCCATGTACTTTACCAGTATGCTACCAGGGTTTCTTAGAAAATCTGATGGTGGTGGTGGTGACTGTGTGCCATCGAGTCGGCTCTGACTTATAACAACCCTATATAGAGTTTCCAAGGCTATAAATTTTCATGGAAACAGAAAGTCTCATCTTTCTCTTGAGAAGTGCCTGGAAGATTTGAACTGCTGACAATATGGTTAGCAGCCCAACTTATAACCCAAAGGCTGCTAGAATTATAAAAAAGTAAGTTAAGCAAAATTGCTGAATATAACAGCAATTCACAAGAAAATTAATAAACAAATGCACAAAAGAAACACTTCACCAAAGAAAATATGCAAGTTAAAATCACAATGAAATACTATTGCTGTTACCTGCCACTGAGTCAATATGGTTCATGGCGACCCTAGCACAATGGAACAAAACACGGTCCTGTCCTATGCCATCTCCATGAACAGTTGCAGATCAGACTTTTGATTCACAGGGTTTTGACTGGTTGATTTTAGGAAGCAGAATGCTAGGCTTTTCTTCTTAGCCCATCTTAGTCTGTAAGCTCCACTAACACCTGTTCAGCACCATAATCATAGCAGCATGCAAACCTCCACTGACAGAAGGGTGGTGGCTATGCACCAGGTACACTGACTACTGACTAGGAATTGAACCCAGGTCTCCTGCATGAAAGGCAAAAATAACAAGTGTCATTTTTACACAGAGTAAACAGGGATGGGCAACTTGGACACTGGCTACCCAAAGTTGTTGTTGTTGTTAAGTGCCATCGAGTCCATTCCAACCCACAGCGACCCTGTACAAGGTTTCCAAGGCTGTAAATCTTTACAGGAGCAGAAAGCCTCATCTGTCTCCTGCGGAACGGCTGGTAGTTCCAAACTGCTGACCTTGAGATTAGTATCGTGTGCTACCAGAGCTCCTATCAATGGACTACTACTCAGTAATAAAAAGTATTGTAGTCATTCTAACAAGTAAAAGGAATAAACTATTGAAACACATAACATGGATGAATCTCAAAATAATTATGCTGAGTAAAAAAAGTCAGACTAGGAAATAGGATGGAAGGATTATAAAACATTGGGCAGGGGAGGGGAGATACATTCAGTATCTTGACTGGAATTACGTTTTAATGCGTCAAAACCATGCCAAAACATCTCAAACTGTACTTAAACTATGTATGGTTTATTGTATGACAATTTTATATCAAGTAAACAGCAAAACAAGGCCAAAATATTTTATACCAAAAAAGAAAAAAGATGGCGGTACGCAAAACAACTCCAAAGCACTCAACTTGAAACAACAGTAAGGAAAGTGATCGATTTTAACCTATGGATGATGAGTGGAAGGATGGATCAAAGTATGGGAGGGAGAAGAGAGGAAAGGAAGGAAGGTGAATGGATATGAAACAGCTGTTGTTGTTAAATACTCTCGAGTCTGTTCCAAAACATAGTGACCCTACATAGGGTTTCAACTACAGACACCTTGTAGTTAGCATTATAGTGACACACCAGGACTTCTGGATATGAGATGAAGAGAAAGAATTTCCTTACAGTGAAATGCTAAAATACAAGGAATGAAAGAGGTAGGAAATTCTGATTTTGAAACCATTATAGGGAGGGGTAGTGTTTGACAGAGAACAAGATACTGACACAACCTCATGTTACTTAAAAGCAAAAGGCAAAATCCTGAGTATTTATATAAGTGAAGAAACCAAACAACACCTTAATCAATCAAAATGAATATTACCTTTAAAGGGGAAGAAAGCCTCATGTGCTTCCAGATATAATTATTCTGGAATAATTACTAATTAGTCATTTAGTATTCCAGTCCCAAATTCACTATCTAAGGAGGAAACACCAGGGGAATCAAAATTAAAGGACTTCTACACGGCACATAACAACAACAAATAAAATAATTGGCCTGCATTCTTAAATATTATAATGGCATGGAAGAACTATACCACACAAAACAGACTTTAAGAACAGAAAGCTCTATGCAATCCTGAATTCTCTGCCAGAAATAAAAACACTACTATGAAGGAAATTACTGGAAAAAATGGGAAAATAAACTCTGTAGTATCTAAGTGTGTTATATCAAACTTCCTGAGCTGGATGACTATGCTATGGGTATGTAAGAGAACTGTCTCAATTTTAGGATGAACAATCAGAAGCATTCTAGGGTAAAGTTCATGACGTACCACATATTTAAATAGTTCAGGATTAAAAAAAAAAAAATGTACGAGAGGGCTTCAAAACGTTCATGGGGAGATTCCATTATCTTTTAATTCTATTTCCCATGGAGTTTTTGAAGTTCCCTCATATACGCATAGAGAAACAACAACAAAACAAAACTGGATAATGTTAAAAATTGTCGTATTAGGGAATAGGAATACGAGTTTCTTGTATAACACTTGCAACGTTTTTTATGAATTAGAAATTATTTCAAAATAAAACACTGAATTAAAGAAATGCAGAAACCCTATACAGAGTCGCTATGGGTCGGAACCCAACTCGACAGCACTTAACAACAACACCACCAAATAAACAGAGGATGTTTCAAAAGGACTCAGAAACCAACTTAATGGGATACCTCCCTGGCCAAAAAAGGAAACCATTTAAAGAATGGAAAAAATAACAAGTGCAGTGTACATACTAAGACATTTGACAAATGTTTAAACATCTGAGTTCAAAATGAGAACAAAAAAGAAAAGAAATGCTGGTCAGAAGCCTACTCAATATTTTGAAAACTGTTTCTTATATGAACCACATTAACAGAATGGGTAATAGAAGTTTCTCTTTAGAAATCTATTCAAGCATGCATGTGAAGGAGAAATGGTAAACTTAGCACATCACTCAAAAATCCATGCTACTGTATCAATAAACATTACAAATGGAGAAAAATGGAAGCTGTCAACGATTTCACTCTACTTGGATAAACAATCAATGCCCATAGCAGTAGCAGTGAAGAAATCAATAGATGCGTGCTTTGCAGTAGGCAAATTTGCTACAAAAGACCTATTTAAAGTTTTAAAAAGCAAACTGAGGATTAATTAAGGTGCACCTGACCCAAGCCTTGGTCTTTTCAAATACCTCAGTTACATATGACAAAGGAAGACAGAGGAACTGCTGCATTTGAACTGTGGTGTTGGCAAAGAATATCGAATACCCATGTAATGCCAGAAGAACCACAAATGGGTCTTAAAAGGAATCCAACCAGAAAGCACTTAGAAGGGAGGGTAGTGAGACTTTGGCTCATTTACTTTGGACAGAACATCAGGAAAGACCAGTCACTAGAAAAGGGCATCCTGTTTGGTCAAGTGGAGGGTCAGCAAATATAGGAGCAACAATGGACGTAAACAAACCAAAAATTTCAAACATGGTATAGGATAGGCAGGATTATATGTGCCAGGAAAGAAGATCACAAATCTGTCTTGAAAGAAACGCAGGCAGAATGTCCCTTAGAAGTGAGGATGGGAGAGAGACTGTGTCTCAACAGTATTTTGGATATGTTGCCAGGAGGGACCAGTCCCTGGAGAACATCATGCTTGGTAAAGTGGAGGGTCAGCAAAAAAGAGGAAGATTTTAAAAGAGACAGATTGACAAAGAGACTGCAACAAAGGGTTCAAACCTAGCAACTGTGAGATGACGCAGGACCAAGCAGTGTTCCGTTCTAGTATACACAGGGCCTCTATTAGTTAGAACTGACCTGATGATACAGAACAACATCTGCATGCGACAGCTGGACACTGGATAAGGAAGACTGAAGAACTGTATGGTAGTGTTGGTGAAGAACATTGACTATTTCATGACTGCCAAAAGAACAAACAAATCTGTCTTAGATAAGTATAGCCACAGGCTCCTCAGAAGCCAGGATGGTGAGGTTTCATTCCCTTTACTTTGGCCATGCCATCAGGAGGGACCAGTCCCTGGGGATGGGCATCATGCGTGGTAAAGTAGAGGGCCAGCAAAAAAGAGGAAGACCCTTGAAGAGAGCTAGTTTAACACTGGCTGCAACAATAGGCTTAAGCATTGCAATGATTGAAGGACTGTGAGGGTAGCACAGGGCTGGGCAGTGTTTCATTCTGTTGTACAGGAGAACCAACCCTACAGCACCTAACGACAACAGCGTGACGACCGAACACATCATTTATATTTGGAACTGAACTTCAATAGGCTGAAACCAGGATAACGGCGCCACATGTGAACCTGGAGGATGCTGAGTGCTGACCTACCAATCTAACTGTATTTGCACAATCGTGTCTTTTATTTCTACGTTTTAATGAGTGAATCCTGATTTGTCCCTAAAATGCATCACAAAACAAAGTGAGAAGCATAGAAATGAACAGGAAAACTCACCTGGGATTTGTTCATTTTCGGCTGCTCTTGAAAAGTCTTGAGAACTATAATGATGACACTAGAGGTGAAAAAGCAAGCAAGTGAAGCGTGATTTGGCATGCTTAGTTAGGCAGGACTCTTCCACCAAAGAACCACCACATATTGTACTATAAAATAACCACCTCGTAATACACTACGCTACCGGGATTCCTTTTTGAAAACCTAGATAAGAGCTAAAAGGGTGAGCTGGAGGAAGCATATCTGAATGCTTTTAATTTCGACATAGATTATGTGGCAATTAGACAAGTTTGATTCCATGGATGAATAAAAACATCGCCTTCTTTTTTTTTTTTTTAAATACTGTGTCATTGTTGAATAAAAGGTGCAAATGATTTCTCCTGTTACACTGTACACACATTTCCTTACTATCTCTTTGAATTGCTGAAAACCAAAGAATCCTCAAGAATTGAGCATGGCAGTAGGTGTGCCAGAGTTGGTTCCAACTCACAGTGACCCTCATAGGGTTTCCAAGGCTGTAAATCTTTCTAGGAGCAGAAAACCTCATCTGTCTCCCATGAGGCGAATGGTGGAGTAGAACTACGGGCCTTGCAGTTAGCAAGCCAGCTTCTATCCACTATCCTATGGAAACGTCTTAGAATTGAGCATATGAGTTCTCAAAAATAGGATCAATGTGCATAAAGGCGTGGTTTTATCTTTTAAGACTTCTACTAAATTTGATTGCCACTGCACATTGTTGTTACTACTAAGTGTCATAGAATCTGTTTTGACTCATAGCAACCCTCATAGTATAGGGTTCCGAGGCAGTAAATCTTCACAGGAGCAGAAACCCTCATCTTTCTCCTGTGGAGCGGCTGGTAAGCTCGAACCACCAACCTTGTGGTTTGCGGTCCAGTGCTTATGCTACGGAGGCAACACATATATTATTACTTTATTAAGAAAATTGGAATAACATGCATACAACACAAACTGGAAGAGGAGTCCTATATTCTACTATAACCCTGTGACAAGTCACCCACCTTCCCAGGGCCAGTTTCTTCCATCAGATAAGGCACCATGAGATTATTACCCTTGTAGATTCTGCACCGTGTGTACTGTCTGGGTATCTGTGCAGTGAAAACAGTTTGCTCTCAGATACTGAGAGGCTGGAACTTCAAACCCAACCAACAGCACAGGGGAAGAAAGGTCTGGTGATCAGCTTCTGTAAAGATTACATCCCTATGGAGCCTGTCTCCTCTGGTAACATGGGATCATCATGAGTCAGAACTAACTGCGGGGTAAACGGGTCTTGTTGTGTTTCAGGTATTGTGGGATTCTCCAAGGGCAGAACTGAGGGAGAATGGCATAAGCTTGGAGACGGGAAGGGAGGTGACGATGGGCATTTAGAGACGCATTTGGAAATCTGGAGGGTTGAAGAGGGTGGAGGGAGGAGTGAGATGTGACCCCCTTCTCCCCCAGTAAACCCTGTCCTCACGAATCTTTCCACACAGGGCCCATTCCGAGGCAGTTTTGCCCCCCCGCCCCCC